CCCTCTGTGCCCTACGCCCTGTGCTTAAACTTCGCTGGACTTCACCCCAATCTTGCGCCCAACACCCACTGTGGTCACTCTCCCATGCTCAGCCGCCTGTGTTCACCACCACTATTTAAACACACCTTGCGCACACACATTGCTCACATTCCTTTGCTAACCTCTGAGCCTGTGCAGCCCCCATTGTGCTCCCACTAAAGTCGTCTCTCTCTGCTCAGCAATTTGTGCTCCTGTTCTCTGCTCAATCAACTGGCTCACCGACCTGTGCGCAGCATCCTGCTCTCACCCCCCCCCCCCCCCCCCCCCCCACTGCTCTCACGCTTCCCATGTACTTACGCTAACGTGGTTTTCACCTTCCCTACTGCTCCCACTCTGTCCTCAACCCTCGCCATGTCCTCAATTATTAACAAATGAGTTGTTTTATATGCTTTCCCACGTTGAGCCCTCATCTCTGTCCTCACCTCCCTTTTCTGAACGCCACTGTTTTCACCCAAAATATTCTCTCCAACGTCTGCTCGCGCCTGTTTGCTCAAACCTGCTGTGCTCATCCCCATACTTTTACGCCCCTATGATCATTCCCCTATACTCATCCATAGGTTGCTTTGCCCCAGCCCCCCACTCCCCGGGTTCACACACCCCTTTGCTGACGCTCACAATTCTTACTGTCCCTGTGCTCACCGCTGCCTATGCTCAACCCTTTCATGTGCATAAGTCCCATGTGCACAACCCATTTTGCTGAACACCCTGTGCTCCACCATTATGCTACCCCTATGCTCAGCTTCACCGTGCTCACCCGATGTGCTCATCACCCCACCCTGTAGAAAGCCTCGTATCGTGCACTTGACCCATATTCTCCCACTTGTTGCACGCCACTTCTGCTCACAATACCCACCTCTTCTCTCCATGCCACTGTGCTCCCAGCCCATATGCTTACCACCTGTTCTCAGCATCCACCATGATCTGAGCCGCCAGTTCTTCCACCGTATTCTCACGATCGTGTGCTGACATTCCTGAGCTCACACCCCTGTACTCAACTTCTGCGCTCATTCCTAGATTGTTAACCCTCTGTGGTCACACCAACTTGGCTCACCCTGCTGTGCATATCCTCCCCTATTCTTACAACCCACACTGCTCCAGCAACCCTGTGCTCACACCTCCTCTGACCACACCACCGCTTGTGTTCAAGACACGCCTGTGCTCTCTCTCTGAGCTAATTGGACTTGTGCTCGCAACCCTTCGCTCCACCTCCCGTAATCTCCCCTGCGAGTACAAGGTGATAATCAGAGGTAGGGCTATTTACATGAACAGATGACACCGATAACTCTGACGCCGAATAATGACTCGAGGTGCATGGACGCCACCTCCCAGATTTAATTATAAGCTATAATATTGACCGCAGGAAATTTTACTATTTTCTCAAGTTGTGGTTTACCGAAAACATGAGAAATAAAAAACGATCAGAAAATGAATTATTTACCTGAGCAGATGACGCCGGCATCATGGGAGTGTGAAATCCAGTTATAATGACGCCAACCCCATGAGGGACAACGCCTCAGAGCAGACTCCATCCATCTGCACCGATCATACCGCGTCACAACGGGACCCGAACCTTCGCCAAAGTGAGCGTCTCCTGATGCTGACAGCGCGGCTCCACAGCCCAACTCCTTACACACCACAGCCGCGTTCAACATATCCCAACCAGAGGCACCAAAGCCATCGCCAGACACTGTGCACCATTGTCCTCCATAGTAAACCTCCACTCTCCCGGCACACGGGCTGCCGCTGTTCACCAGCCTCACCCTCGCACCCTCTGTAAAACATCACACAAAATATTGAGATTCTGCTCCCTATTGGACTTGCAGTCAGCCAGGATGATGCAATACATTTTACATGTGCGGAGCGCCAATCACATTGGGAGAGTGTCGCAGTGGTAAACAATACAACAGCAATAACAATGATTATAATAATGGTTGTTGGCGATATTCAGTCCACAACCCGGATATCACGTTAACAGCAGCAGCTTATTACACAACTAACTGTGCTCGTTACAGCTACATTTGCGAGCGAAGAGTAGTGGTATTATAATGTATATTGTTATACTTTACGTTAGATTATTATAATTAAACTAAACCTTTTTACTTGTTTAGGATTATTATACATTATGATACATTTTTATACTTTATATTTAGAATGCCGAGCAGGGCGAATTTTGAGGCAATTTTCCGCACTCCAAATGCATCTGTTTACAGAGCAGCCAGAAGGAACCCACTAGTCAATGGGGGATCATTTTGCAGGGGATAATAATTCATTCAAAAATAGAATAATTTGTTCACTCGATCCATAGCTTTTGATGGACACCGTTGTGCGCGATTCTCTGCCGCGATTCGCCCACAAAATATATAGACGTTTCATAACGCAGTTGGTTCTGTGATGCGCAACGAGATGTTTTGGCGCCATATTAAATTCAAGGATAATCTTATTGTAATTTATTTAAGATCACAGTAGATTGTTATATGTTAAACTATTTTGTTATACTTAACGTTAAATAATACATAAAAAATACAAATTATATAAGATTATTATACAAAATACAACAATTGGAGATTCCCCAAAAATTATGCCCAGATTCCACCCAAAATTTGTTACAGAGTATATTACTACATGTGTATCGTATAAATTACAACATATGTGTCTCACGAGAACAGAGTAATTTTGTTGCGGAATATCGTGCAAACCTCATAATTTGGGACTGAATTAATTGTCTATTTGATCGATCGATGGTAGGAAATCCCCAAAAGTGTCCCTGTGCCATTCGCCCATGCAAGACATTTTCTTTGAGTTGTAAATCAGTTCTCTTATTAAATCGGTTAATGCGCTATTGGCAGATACACAGATGCACGCACAGAGGTAGATATTGTCGTTTTATTAGTGCATTTATAGATCGGGTGTGTGACAAAACAACTTACATAATTCATATGCAAACACAGAGAGATAGAAACTGAACAGTGCAACATGATATGAGCTGCAGCCTCACAGCTCTACCAGCTCAGGCATAATCACTCCGGGGTGTGTGGGGTTTGGTTGAGGTATAAAATATCGGCATATCATACAAGAGGACCACAGGATCAAGAGGACCACAGCACCCACCACCAAACTGAAATCGAGAGCAGTCCCAACCCCAGGGCACAGTCTCCCCGCCGACCCAGGGTACAAACCCCTACCCCAGGCACAAACTAACCCTCAGTGCAGAGCCCATCGCAGCGAGGCACAAGCCATAGACCCTAAAGTACAGCACCACAAGTTACAAACTACCTCACCCCACAACCCAGGCACAGCGCACCACAGGGCACAGCCCCTCCCGCATGCAACCGCTTGGGGACGGGCAGTGTCTAGGAGGGTCTGTGCCTCAGAACAGCACCACAGGCACGGCTATTTACCTATTGCCCAGCCACATCGTCCACAGGGCACAGCACCCAGGGACATCCTTATCCAGGAACACACAACCCCAGGCACAGACCCCGCCCTAGGCCAAAGAACCACGCAAGGGCACAGCCCAAATAAATTGTACAGCGCCTCCTCAGGGCAAAGACCCTCCTCAATTTAAATCATTCCAAGGCACAGTTCCTTCAGCCAGTGCTCAGGCAACACGCCCAGCAATCCGGCGGCACAATCTCTAACCCCGGGACACATCAGTCGAATGCACAACACCAAGCACAGCCTCCCCCAGACACATCACACCCAGTGATCAAAACCCACCGCCGACAGTGTACCTCCAACCAGGCCCAGCTCCACCAAGGCACAGCCATTCGACAGGTACAGCATCTCCCAGGGGCAGAAACACTCCAGGGCACTACAGGACGCCCCCCAACCACCCGTTCCGGTTACTGCCACTTTCCCTTGCACAAGCCCTTGAGGCACACCTGCTTCCGCGAGGGCAAGCCCATTAACCCCGGGAACATTCTCTCCCCCCAATGCACGGCCTCTCTCCCAGGTCACAGCCCACGACCAAAGAAATGAACCACTCAAGGTAGAGCTGCATTAATTAGTAATATTCGGGCATCCTTGTGGCCTCTACACACAAGCCCACCAAGTGACCCACTGCGTTTCCCCCGGATTGTGTGATGGTTTCTACTCCTCATCCCCAGATGGAAGTGAAGAGAAGCCCAGTCTCAATCTCAGCCACTAATGTTACCTCAGCAGCTTCTGGCTGTGACATTGTGTTACTAACCTGCAGATTCCAACATCTTTCTCTCCAGAAATATCACTGCAGAAGGAAAAAAATAGATCAAGTCAGGAGTTATCAATGCAATAATTCTCACAATCATGGATCTGATCTTCCCAGTTTCTCACATCGTAAACGGTCGGTCCTCATCTACAGGGCAGCAATTTAATGCCATCGCCGAAAAAGCTTCCAATGGGGGAAGGACGACCAGTATAGACACGACACGGAGGTAAAGAATGCATGGAATGGGGTTAGAATAGAGAGCTCGAGTGGGTGAGCGAGCACCAGCACAAATACGATGGGATGCGGAGTCAATCGGACTGAACCAAGAATTCTGTCATAGACTAAGAAACACAGCATTTGGCTGAACGTCATTTGCTGTGCAAAAATCGGTTGTGTTTCAGTTTCGAGCCGTGGAGAAGATGGCTTTTGGTGACAGTACGGAAACAGAGGAATTCATCTCAAATCCCGTTAATAGTTAGAGCACACTGTGTTTCCCTTTCGGTAAGGAGTTTGCTCACCCTTTGATTTTTTCCCTGGTTTCTCCTCTGCCGTTCCCCATCAACAACAATGTGCATTTGGACAACTTGCATTTATGTAGGCATACAGCTTCATGCGAGGAGGCGACGAAGAGAAATTTATTGTTGCAAAGACCTCGATACCCATTCAAACTTCTCTGTACCGGTGGCAACATCAGGAATTTCTCATTCCCTCCCTCCTTCTCTCCCTCCGTCCCTTATTCCCTATCTCACTGAATCGTCACTGCCTCTCCGCCTCCCTTTACTCTAACCCTCCCACTCCGTCTCCCCTCCCCAAACTCTGCCTCTTTCCCTCCCTTTCCGACTCCCTGCACCTCTCTCTCTCTCTCTCCCTCTCATGTTGCCCTCCCTCTCTCCCTCCTGCTCCCCTTCCTGCTAGCCCTCATTCCACCACTCCATATTTTTCTTCCTCCCCCACTCCACCTCACTCTGACCTCAACCTTTCCCACTCATATGCTTTCCACCTCTCGCTCCCTTCGCTGCACCCAATCGCACTAAGACTCAATTTCCTCCTCTCACTCACCTACACTTTACCCAGTACAAGCACTCTGCCACTCATCCTCTCCACCTTCGCTCTTCCCGCTGTCTTTCACCTCGCTCTTTCGCTCCCGCACTCCCTCCTCTCTCAATTCCCCCGTTAATCATCTCACTCCTATCTGCCCTTACTCACACTCTTCTGCACACTCCCTCTCTCTCTATGTGCTCTCACTCTCGCCTCTATCCTTCCCTGGTCCCTCCTCTTCTATCGCTCGCCTCTCTACCCTTGCTTCCCTTTCAATCCTCTTTCTTCATTCCACTGCTCAATCAACAAAAAAGCAATACATATGTATGTAGCATTGCATGTCGGATGTACTTAACTATTCGCTGCATAGACAGAATTTGGGATCAGTATCAAGGAGACTGGAGTGCAGTGGAAGGAGGGAAATCGAAATCTCGATTAAAGTGGAGGTTTTGAAAAGGGTCTTGAAGGAGGTAAGCAAGCACGAGGCGGGGGTTGGTTGTGGTGGGTGCTGCTGTAGGATGGAATTCCAAAGGGTGGCGGTAAAGCGGCTGAAGGCCTAAATGCCAAAGGTCGATGGTGGTGGAGCAGGCCGTAGCTCGCTGAGCGAAAGGAGCGGACAGGCTTGTAGAAGCTCAGAAGTTTGCAGATGTACGGGTCAGCGACGTTATGGAGGATTTTGAAGGTGAAGGCAACAGCAATAACAAACAAAGCAACAAAAGCTTGGATTTATATAGAGCCCTACACACCCAATGGCGTCTCAGAACGCTTTACAGTAACGGATACCGGGTCGCGCCAGGGGGAGGGGAGGGAATGTGTCCAAAGATCGAAAAAAAAGGTCTTCAGCAGAGACCTGAGAAATGTAAGGGAGGGTGCGAGCCTAAGGGAGTGAGGAAGGCAGTTCCGGAGCCTCGGCGCATAGTGGCTCAAGGCACTGCCACCGAGAGTGAAGAGGACTCGGGGGACGAGGAAGAGGTCAGACCCGGAACAACGACGGCAACGATTACTGTTTTGAAGAGAGAGGAGGTCAGAGAGGTCGTGGAGTGCAGAGGAGTGCAGGGACTTTAAAACAAGGGTGAGGATCTTCAACTCGATCCTCCCTGGGATAGGGAGCCAATGCTGTCTGGCCAGGACTGGGGTGATCGGGGAGCGGAGTTTGGTTCGGTTGAGAATGCGGGGGGCAGACTTTTGAATGATATGGATTTTATGGATGGTAGTGGATGGGAGACCGCCGGGGAGGGCGTCAGAGTAGTCCAGCCGAGTGTTGACAAAGGCATGGAATAGGGTTTCAGCGGCTTTAGGGTAGAGATATTGGTGGAAGACCGGAAGACCAGTATCTTGAACTGTATCCAATGGAGTCGGTGAGGATGGGGGTGATAGGGTCACGGAGCTTGATGTAGGAGAGGACACGAACTGCAGAGATCAGGAGGATCTGCAGCCTTTGGATGGAGGATTTTGGAGGCCGACAATCAGGGAGTTTCCGTCGTCACGCCTCGATGTACGAGGGTGCTGGCGGCCTGCCGTGTGAGACTGTGATGCAGACGAGCGATGCTGCGTAGATGGGGTAAAGCAGAATGGGTCATGGTATGGATTTGGAGTAGGAAGGATCAAGCAAATCGCCTCTCACTCCTCTCCTTTCCGTCTCTCTGACTGGGCTTGAGATTGAGTTAGAACCGACACTCACCAAAGATGAGGAACAACGTCTCCATGACGGGGATGAGGAGGAGCTCGGGCCAAGAGACGAACCTGGAAGCTGAGAAGCAGCTTTTTTCACGTTCACTGAGCTCTGTGATCCCAAATCATTCAAGTTTCTGTTACACACACACAGCCTGAGTGTGAAACACACACAAACACACACACAGCCTGAGTGTGAAACACACACAAACACACTCACACACACACAGACGAACACCAGCGATCGATACTGAGTGATGTTCTTAGCTAGGAAGCAGAAATTCAGACTTTCTTTCTCTCTTTCTCTCTCTCTCTTTCTCGCTCTCTATCATACACACACCACAGTAGTTTATTGTTTCTGCGACGAGGAGAGCCCTGACAGGAAGATGTGGGCTGCCGTGGGCACACAGCGTGACAAATATTGTGCAAAGGAGAAGTGAGCTCCAACTGGTGTCACATTGTACCATTCCTCAGATTAATATTAATCATTAATTTTACGCCTGTTCTTGGGACATTGCTGTCATCAAATTCTGTGTGTTTGTATCCGTCCACAAACATATTGTCACTGCATTCTACATTTATTCCTGTGAAACTCTATGAAATATTTGGATGGAGCAATACGAGGAGTCATTTGTAAGAAAATATAGAGTGGAGATTTCCGATCTCAGTTCGGCTTCACCATCTGATCTCCTCCTTCCTCTTTTCAGTTACTTACACTTTATCTCTCCGTAGTTACTTCCTCCATTGCTTCCTTTCATTAGTTCGGGGACGTCCTCCTGACGTGAAAAACAATTTGCAGCTGCACTTTTGTGGTAGTTTTCAAAGACACAAAACAACAATTGAGAGGCAGCAGGATAAATTAGAATAGACGTCCCAAAGCGCTTCACAGAACACACTGTAAAGTGAATTGACTGTATATTTGTGGCCGAACACGGCAGCCAATTGCCCACAGCAATGTCCCACAAACAGTCGTGGATTGAAAATGACCAATTTTTTATTGTTTTTGGTTTTGGGGTAAGGGAGTGTGCCACACCCTCCCGCAGAGCACAGCCCCCACCCAGAAGGCACAGCACCTCCTCCAGTCCACACACACCCCTCCACCCGCCCCCTCACACCTCGCCCGATCCCATCACATATCAACCGCTCCAAGGCACAGCCCTACAAAGGCACAGATCACCCCAGACACAGCCTCCGCACACCCCAAGGCACAAAAAAGGGCAAAGACATGCACACGCATCCCTGACCCACACCCCCCCCCCCCAGCAAGGCACAGCTCAATATAGGCCACAGCCCCATTCCCCAGTGCCCTGCCCCCTCCTCCCCAGGGTACAACCGAACTAAAGCACAGACAACTCCAGGCACAGACCCCTCACGCAGCCACAAACCCTCGCCCAGGTCACAGACTACCTCGCCCAACACTGTACAGCAGCCCCCCATGGGGCATAGGCCACAAACTCCAGGCACAGCCACCACAGATATAACACACCCAGGGCGCAGCCCCCCCCCCGCACACCCAGCTTCACCCAGGCACAGACTGTCCCAGGCACAGCCCCCTCCCCAACCTCATTTAAACTGGGGTGTCTCGCTTGCAAAGCGAGTACTCCAACCACTGAGCTACATGACTCTACTTTTTTGCTTTATCTGTCCAGGCCTTTGTGTTGCTTTGAGAAATGGAGAATTAACTTGAGAGCTCCCCAGCCCTGCTGTCTTGTCGGCTTTTGAGAACATTACAATCAGATAGGGAAGCCAGTCTCGAGCCTGCAGCACCTCGACTGACAACATGGAGAGTAGATATTTCTGTATCTAAAGCTGTAACTCAGCTGTGAACTTGCAAGAGAGCAAACTGGCAGATATTATTTGTGCAAATTATTACAGTTCATGTGAAATCTGATGGTAAGATGATTCCCATTCAGTCAAGGAGGATTAATATTTTAAACCTCATCAGGACGTTCTCTGAGAAACGATCTCCACTGTGGAAATGTCTAAATGTTAATTGCGCTGCATCTCCACAAGTGAGAACCAGAAGGTCTCAGGAATCTCATTGATTTCAGTCAATGTTAAAATTGTCCTTTGGGCCGTCACTGCAGCTCGCTTTCCCAGATTGGAGACCCATGGTTAGATCGGGAAGGAGCAGCCTGGCGTCTGTTCTGTTAGCAATGTGTTGACAGATTTTGACACTGTACAAGATCACAGAAAGTTGTAAGCTTCAGAAAGAAACAACTGCACCCATACCCGCAAGGCCTTGGAACAGATGCATTTTGAAAATCTCATAATGGAAATGTAAGGGATGGGAAAATATGGTCACATTTTTTATTTGATTCGGAATGTTTAGTCGAAACCAGAGAGCGCTGCTGGTTGGTTGAGGGGTATGATTGCCTCTTCCTGCTCTAAAGACAAGGAAAATATGGAGGTCACTGGATGAATTACCGGAGTTGCCTGCCTTGTGTTTTATCCTTTGCTGTGCGCAATTGGCTGCCGCGTTCTCCCACAAATATACAGTCAACTCACTTTACAGTATATTCTGTGAAGCGCTTTGGGACGTCCTCCCGACGTGAAAAGCGCTATATCAAATGCGAGGATTATTATTATTATTATTATCCTGGCCAACAATTCCAAATAAAATTGTTCATTCTCTCATTGACTGTTTGTGCACGTTACGATGCCAAACTAGGCTTCCATATTCAATCACAAAATACAGTCGCTCCGCTTTACAGCACATCGTGTGACATAACTTGTGGCATCCTCGCGACACGAAAGCTCTGTGCGAAAGGCAAGTGTTATTATCCTCCTCCTCGGACTGGTGGAAATTTTACTGGTTACAAAATTATGTTCTGCTCACGCAGTTCTCCTCCTGCCTCTCCGCACAAGGCCTGTCTGTGAACCTGTGTCTCTGTCTCTCTCTCTTTCGCTCTCTCTCACACACTCAGATTCTCTCTCAGAAACGATCCCTGTGTGCTTTTGTGTGTGTGTGTGGACGTGTCCCTGTGTGTGTCTGTGTGTGTGTGTGTGCGCGCGCGTCTGTATGTGTTTATGTGTGTGTGTGTATGTCTGAGAATGTGCGTGCGTCTGTGTGTCAGTGATTGTCTATGTGTGTGTGTGCCTGTGTGTTTCTCTGTGTGTATTTGCGTGTATCTGTGTGTTTGTGTCTGCGTGTGTGTCTCTGTGAGTGTGTCTGTGTATGTATGGTGTGTGTGTGTCAGTGTGTGTTTGTGTCTGTGTGCGTGTGTGTAGGTGTCTGACTGTGTGTCGGTGTGTGTGTGTGTGTGTGTGTGTGTGACTGCGTGTGTGTGTCCGTGTTTATGTGTGACTGTGTTTTTCTGTGTATGTGTGTGTGTCCGTATGTCCATGTATGTGTCTCTTTGTGGGTCTGAGTGTGTGTGTGAGTGTGGGGGGTGGGGGTGGGGGTGGGGGGCGAGTGGTGTCATTGGATGTCTGTCTTTTTGTAGGTTTCAGTGAACACATGTCAAGATTTGTCTGTTAGGATCAAATCATGAAGGTAAACAACGCTGCGGAGCTGATGCATGAGATAAAGTTTCTTTATTCCCACTGACAGTGTTTGTATAGCGCCTTCCAAGCTAGAACTCCCAACGAAGGAAATGATTATAAGCATAATAATAATAATCATTGCAATGGTACACCACCCGACCACCTCATCTAGACGTCTGAAAGCGCTTCGCGGGATAAGCCGCAAAGCGCAGTGCCATTTTATGAAATATATATGTGAGTTGAATCGACCGAATTTTATGATTTTTACCAACAATTGAGGGGTATTACAACCCCCGGAAAAGCCACTGCCAATGGAATTCCAGTCGGGTTCCCAACGACAGCTGGTCAACACAGGCTGGTGGAAAAGAGTGGCGTCCTACAGCACGTGGTTAGATTACTCGCTTTGCAAGCGAATGACCCGGTTTCAATCCCCGGAAGGTCAGGGCGAAACCTTGGGCAAGTTTCCTTACTCCACACAGCGCCTAATAATAATCCCTCCAAAACCAAAAACAATAATAAATTGGTCATTTTCAACCCACGACTGTTTGTGGGACATTGCTGTGCGCCAATCGCTGCCGCGTTCGCCCACAAATATACAGTCAAATCATTTTACGGTGTGTTCTGCGAAGCGCTTTGGGACGTCCTCCCGACGTGAAAAGCGCTATATCTATTGCAGAGATTATTATTATTATTATAAGAGAAGAAAAGGCAGGACAGGGAGGGCAGCAGATTGATAGCTGGGTAGACCAATAAGTAGCTGGGCAATATTGGAAGGAGCAAATAGTCAGCGAGTGGGCGGGGAGAGAGTGACGGTCAGAGAGAGAGTGCGCAAGGCACAAAGGAACGGGAGATGATTGACGTGTTGACAGATCTCACCGAGGACCTAATCTGCTTGAAAATGCAACTGACCAATGTTCAGCTCCGGCAGAAGGGGCAGGTGTTTGAGTGGGCCATGGAAAGGGAGAGGGCGGGGAGAGTGTGACGGTCAGGGAGAGTGCGCAAGGCAAAAAGGACGGGAGATGATTGACGTGTTGACAGACCTAACAGAGTACGTAGTCTGATTGAAAACGCAACTGACCAATGGTAAGCTACGGCATGATGGGCGGGTGTTTGAATGGACCAATGGGAAGCGAGTGGGCGGCGAACTAGTGGCATCTGGTGATATCGCGGGGCAGGATGGAGCGCAAATTATATAACGTGGATTTGGACCTATCAGAGCGCGACTATCGGTTCACGTGTGAACAGACCATTGGGAAGCTCTGGCTGAGGGGGCGGCTGTTTGAATGGGCCAATGGGGAGCGGGTGGGCGGTGTCCTAGTGACGGTTAACCAGGGAGCGGAAGGTGGAGCGGTTTAGAGATGATTGACGTAGGCACAGACCTATCAGAGCGCGGCATCTGCTTGACAACTGGACAGACGAATGGGAAGTTCAGGCAGAGGGGGCGAGTGTTCGTAACGGACCAACGGGGAGAGAGTGGGCGGAGACAACGTCAGGATTGAAGGAGGAGAAGATCAAACATGGCCGAGGATCGACCGGACAGAGAGCGACCTGAGCTGCTGGACGATTGGGGCTGACAGAGGGTCAGGTCAGTGGGAGAGAATAAGCGGCGAGAGTGTGAGAAATAGAGAGTCTGTGAGAGATGAAGTGTGTACGAGAAAGAGTATTTGTATGTGAGTGAGAGTGTGTGTTAGAGAGAGTTTCAAT